AGAAGCACTCATAGTTACATTTATTTAATCAGATCAAGGATCTCTCCGCCGAAAGAGCAAGACACGGTTAAATCGAAGAAAAATAAGAAAGTTTCGAAGCGCCACAAACAGGATGCTTCAGCAACAGATATCAGCATTAAACTTGGAGAAGAATCAAATTTTAGCAAAAACCCTGCGGGGCCGGGGCTCGATCCTAGTCTATTGAACGAACAGGCTAACGTACAACTCACTACACTAACAAGTGACGTGTGAAGTGCTAAAAGTTGCAGTTATTTAAGCAAAGCCATTAGCCAAGTACACGTTACTGATGGGCAAGATCCATCAGCGACACGCCAGACGTTGGAGACAACACGTGTAATTGGTGTGTTTCACCGAAATGGACTTCAAAAAAACTAAAACCGTGCAAAATCATCGTTATACTATGACAAGAAAATTTTATCTCCCCAAAGCACGATCTTACGGTAACATCGAGGCCCACAGTAGAAAACGAGACTAGTACTGCCACCAAGAGAGAAGCAAGCTTCATAATACAGCGATTACCTGAATCAACCGCAACCACTCCCATGGACCGACATTCCGCAGACGTTCAGCTCTTCGCTGCGCTCATGAACAAAATGCTGGGACCCAATGTATCAGTCGAGTGCGATAAGGCCTTCCGCCTTAGAAAACGGCCAGAGAGCATAACTGGATCGACGCGTCCCAGACCTCTGAAAGTGATCATGACCAGCAGCCAAGAAGCTAAGCTTATTCTCTCTAGGCGTTTTAGGATAAAAGACTCTGACCCGGGAGTTTTTTCAACAGGATTTCTCAGCTGCGGAACGGAACAAACGTCATCAACTTGGTACCGAACTGAGGGAGCGGCTCAGCGAGGGGGAACAAAACATGGTTATTTACAACAACCAAGCGAGTCAGCGTTCATTTTTCTCACCCTGACAAGCCCATTCTGGATAATCACACAGTCGACTCAGTAGGATGAGGGTTGAGCCCGAACATAAAAACTTTCCGAGCAAGCAGTAAACTAAAATTCTGTGCACTAATGCACAGTGGTATCAAAGCTCGATGAGCTAAAGTTTCATCTCTGTGAAGTATCTCCAGATGTACTTTCCCTTACCGAAACTTGTTTGTCCCATCACGTTGACGACCATGAGGTAGCTATGCCTGGCTACCAATTGTTTTGGAAAGACAGGGAAGGGCGTCAAGGAGGTGGCGTCCTCACATACGTAAAAATTGGGCTTATTGTATTATACAAAACAGATAAATTTACGAGCAGTTCAGAGGCGATCTGGCTATTCGTGAAAGGACCAGGATCATCAAGTCTCGATGTCCTGACACTCTACCGACCACCGAGAAGGGACCCCGTAGCTGATGCCTCCTTGCTAGAGGAGCTCGAAAAGATTTCTACACGGTCGGATATCTTGATGGTGGGCAACTTTAACGTACCACATATCGACTGGAGCTCGGCCTGCGCACATGGCTCCGATCTAGCCTTTGACAGTTGCCTTCTGAGCATGACGATGAAGTTATTTTTCACATAGCACTTCAAGTTTCCAACGAGGGTGCGCGGAGGCCAAC